GAAAGGCTTTTCTTACGCTGACAGGAGAGATGGGAAGCCACTCAAAATCTTGATCCAAAATCAAGAAACATTTATCACTGAGACAGGTAGATGAGGCACAAGACGCCAGATGTTGCTCCACATCTAAAAGACTCCTGTTAATGCCTCAGATGTTTTACATTTATGTACTACCTATCTGATGAGAGTCTTGTCTCAAGCTACTTTCCCTTGACACATTGGTATCTCCCCCCTGTTTTACAAGCTTGCTTCTTCCATTTCATCAGCCCAGTGGCTCTTTTGTCATTCATGGGTTGGGAGTCTTATTAACCAACCCATTTCACCTGCTCAGACATGACAGCCTTCACTCACAATTCAAGTTCACTGCTGTAATGTTTCAAGGCTTTGCACAGACACTCACAGGCTCAACAGGCATATATTAGATCATCCTTCATAGTTAAAATATTCAAGTAGAATATGTACATAGAATTAAAAGGTGCTTAAGGCAGCTATGAGACTTACACACAGCTCTCAGCTAGATGATGCACTTAGTTGTGGGAAAATGTCTCCAGATATAACATAGAAAGGTGAGGCAGCTCCTCAGTTGTTTAAATGAATGAAAATCTAATACCTTTTTAAGGATTTTAAAACTAAGTAAGGAAATCAAATCTATTCTGAAATATAGGGCTTAATCACTTCATCTGACCTGACAGTACTTATAGCTGGGCCTGAGAGGTAAGATAGATGTTTTAGGTCGCCAGTCTCATCACAGACCATTTGCACTTCTTGAAAAGTGTAATAAGGCTATTTTTTCCTGGTTTGCACTGAATCACAGAGCTGTCCTGACAGCTTGAGCCTGTTGCATTATGCTGCTACTGTAGCCACAACTTTTCCCAGTTACTCCCACCTCTGATATACCCCTCAGCACTTGCATTTAAGTTGTAGACACAGATGAATAGTTTAAATCGACAAATGTGGTTCTACAAGGCACAGAAAGCCTGCTATCCACTTGTTGCAGGCCTTTCCCAAGTACACCAGATGGATTCTTTTCCTGAATACTTCTCTCCCATGCATCCCCATCTCCAGCTTGATGCCACAGTCCTCCTTTCAGAGTGGGATGCCTATACAAAAATAACTCCCTGAGAACACAGACTGGAAAGCACTACCCCAAAGCAAAGCAGTTCCTCTTAAGACACTGAGCTGTGGCAGCAACTGCTAGCAGAGATACCCCTGCGACATCCCAGTACTTTCTCCTGACAACACTGCAACATCAGCACTTCACTCCAGCTCCTGTGAGGCCCAGCAGAGGACCCAGGGGAATGCAGGACAGGCATGGACCTCTTTGGGCACTGCTGCCTTCCCTTGCCCTGAGAAACATGCTCTTTTCACCTTCCGCATCTTCCCAGTCACCTGTGTCCCTGCTGAGCAACTGACTTGGCCAGGCCTTGTGTTATATCCTGCCTTTGTGAAGGAATTATCTCCAGATCAAAACCCCCAATGTTTTCCCTGTTTGTAAACTTCCCTGAGAACTGGGAAAATAGCAGAGATTAAAAGCCCCATATTAATTATTCCTTCAGTCTGCCATACTTTGGATATAATTTAAAGTTCTTGGTTTCATTTTGCATATATAAGCCACGTCTGGGTTATTTGCTGGTATAGATCTGCCTAGGTTATGCTGGCAAGGAACGCAGCACATCAATCTTACCTTGTATACAAGTCAGGCACCCAAAATGAACAAAATCTGACAGTTAAACAGGATACTTCTCCTGTTTTACATATTTTCAAACCTTGAAAACTCTCCCATATTGTACACACGTTCCCTTCTGGTCTTTTAGTGTGCACAGGAGAAGGGAATGGAACCTTATTCTAAACTTAAATATTGAAAGACAGATGCTTTCCTAATTTATCTAGAGAGTTTGTGCCAAAAATCCTAAAGTTTGAGCTTGGTACATTGCTTGGTTCTCTTTCCAATACACTGCTCTTTAAGAGGTCTCAAGTACCACATCCTATTTATCTTCCTGCACAGTGCCAGTGCAGGAAGTTCCACACAAATCAATCAGTTGTAAAAATATAATGCATTTCCATGCAGTTAACATAAACAAGGAAGTGCAGATTCCCTAACTGAGTTTGTCAAGTGCTCTGAACACATGTTTTAGAGGGACATTCTAATGTATTTTAGCATTCCAGCACCCAGGGTGACTCCATCAAAAATTTAAAAGACTCTAGCTATACCAAATTTGTTACTCTATGCAAATGCAGACAGTAGTTAATTAAGTCACCTTTGACAATTTCATTACCTTTCCAATCATGCTTGAGCAGTATTCAAAACTTTGAGTGGAGCAGGTTCACTATTGAAAATGAGACTCACACATACATAAGCAAATTAATTACTTATAGCCAATATATTGCAATTCTCAAGGGCTGTGTCATTAATCTTTCAGATACACTTAGGTACTGAAAACCCATGATAGTATTTCTGAACTTCAGAAGATCGGGAATTTTTGTACCAAGATTGTGGTATTTTCTCCCCATAATTTCTCTGTTAAAAGGTTTTGGTTATCCAGTTGGAGAACAGAAGCAACGTGGCCATATCATGCCAGGAGTGAATTACAAATAGCAATTATAGAATACAGCTTGTGAACCATGTCTCCTATAAAAGTTCTTCACTCAAACCATTTGGTGAATACTTATGCATGATAAATACATGCAGAGATCTCAGGGATGATTCACTTCTGACATGTGAATAAAGAAATAAGACTAGATTAATCTTGTTCCAGATTCACTTAATGAAATTAGACCCCACCAAAGTACTTCAATTTGATTTATAAAGCTTTTAGAGTATAATGTTTTGGAAGACAGTTACCTGAGATATTACCTTTTTCATCCTTACAGTGCCACAGAGGAGGTAGACACTGCGTGGCTTCCTGGAACAGACTGGCACTACAGCTCTTAATTTTACTAAAGGCATTTTCATGGACAGGTCCAGCAAAGGAGCATGCATTTCCCTGGATGGTCTGGTAGAGTTTTATGCCTGTTTACTTAACCTAATTCTTATGTCAGAATAGAGAGCAAGAATTGAAATTTGTTTCTTCTGGAGTCTTTTATCCATTTTTTTAACCTATGGAAATCTTTCAAAATTATATATGTGAATCCTGTCACTGAGAAAGACAACCCAATGTCTTTGATAAATTAATAAACAATTGAATGAATGCACAAATATTGGAGACTGATTATGACAAAAACATTTGGGCACCCTTAAGGATGCAACAGGTTCATATCTCAGTTGCAATAAAAGTTGACAAGAGATGAAACTACTATGTAAACTACTGAATCTGCACAAATAGTTTTTCTCACTGAAGATGAACTAGTCTTTCATGCTATTCACAATAAAAAAATTTCTTATCAGACCTGAAATCATGGGATTCTCATAGTAATAAATATTATACTTGGCACACATTTGTGGGATGATGACTTGAAGTATTGTATTTATAGTTGGCAGCAATCCTTATAGCTGTATATTGCTCTAAGATATTTGTGACCTATATCTTTGAACAGCCTACTGAGGTAAAACAAAATAGAAAGAGAAAGATCAATGGAAAATATCACTTTTCTAATGCTTTCTGAAAAAGAAGATAAAGTATCAAAATGGCTGAGGTGCCAGATGAAAATTAATTTAGAGACTTTGCATTAGTTCACCCTGAAATAACACTCCAAGCCCTACAAAAGCACACCCAGATGAAAGATGTCTTCATATGTCTATCTTAAGGTCAATACCTCTGGGAACAAATTATAAGAAATTTTGCCAAGAGCTTATCCCACAACAAACCATCTGAAATAGCCTATAAATAAAATATCTGTGAAGGGATTCACAGATACAGAGAAAAGATTGCTATCTGGGTGAAAAAAACAGTAATGGAAAAACAGCTGTTTCTTACAGCCAAAATTGAATCAGAAACCTGGAGCTTCCTCATATTCTGGTGACCTCTGATGAAAAACAGCTCACATAACTGCAGGCCGTTTTTAAGATGAAGAGCTGTGTTCAGGGTGATAGGTCACCTCAGGGCCCTGTCCACAGCTCCCTGCCAACCTTATCCCACTGGGACCAGGGGGAGAGGTGCCTTGGATGCCCTGCAGTCTGGCCAGGGGCATGTGATTGGCCCTGGCTGGGCACCCCTACCCTGCCACCCTGCGGGAGCCCCTGGTGCTTCAGCAACTGGAAACAGCTGGGCAGGTGAGTCAGGCTCAACCTCTGAGTGTGCCTGGTACTATCACAGCCCTGCACACAGAAAGCTGGTCACCCAAATCCAGGCAAGACCATGCATTGTCAGCACCTTGGGAAAGTGCAGCAAATGTTTCATTAGTTCTCCATAAGACAATGAAGTGTTATATTTGTGTCACTAATCACAAAAGCAATTTATGGCTATTTTAAGACTGTATTTATGCAATTAAAATTTTAGAAATAATATTTTCTCTCTACTCAGCCAGTTTGTGCGGGTGTGGGAGGTGTCCCTTCAACATTTTCCTTATGGCAGCTAGTAGTTTTCCAGCCCTTTGAATTTAGGACATTTACAAGTTTTCATACCATTAAACCATTAGGTATTACTTAGTCTGCAGCAATAAACTATAAGGCACCTTCTTTTATATGCTGAAATACAGCAATCCATTTAGTCAAGTTGTGACAATACCTTCTAAGTCATCTTTAACACTTCATCCATTTAATAGCAATTAATTAATACAGAGCTATTAGAAAAATTGTGAAGCCGTTACAGAAATAGCAAATTCTCTTCTTGTACCAATGAGAGAATCTCTAATGAAGTCAGTGGATGTGGCCGTTATTACATAGCAATAGTGATTTCTAAACCATATGTTTTCATGCACTAATGAAAGATCTCTGAAATAAATTTGAGAGTGAGGGTGTCAGTACTAATCTAGTTGGAAAAAAAAAGTCCCCAAACCTCATACCATGTGACTAAACCCAAAAAACTCACATTTTTTAGAGACTCGTGTTCACTTTTTTTACTTACTGCTTTATATGTTCTCTTCTGTCCAGCATGTTTTCTGATTTGTTCTCCATTGGGCCCAGTTTCAACATGCATGGAATAGATAATGTCAAAGAAATCTTCTACGACGGCCACCCGCCGTAAAGACAGCTTCTCATCTACACCTACTCCATCCTGAAAAGGGGAAAAAAAAAAAAAGAGAACAGAAAAAGTAAGGGAGACAAGATGAATAGACAAATTATGATAATCATGAGACACATTGTCCTGTTTTAGAAGGGAGTTAAAGACCCATTAATATCTGAAGATCACCCACCCTGAAAATAACAGACACAGTATTGTAGGAAAGCTGCGTGATCAGAAGTATCACATAGACCCTTGCAAGCAGCCCATTTTGCCAAACCAGGGCATTTGGCCTTTTGATAGCAAGTGATCTTCCACTCCAGCATTTAAAAAAACAAAACAAAAAGTTTCTGTGCTTTCTTCTCCAAATGCACAAAAATGATTCAAAGGCAGAAGCAGTCCCAAACACACAGCACAAAAATGCATTATGTGGTTGTTAATAAGGATGCAACAGCTCTTTTATTCTCTCATTCCCTTCCCAGTAAATCTGTGTCTAGCATTTCATAAAGGTGTTTAACAAAAGGTTTTAATTCAATGAGCTGACTGTAATTATGAATACGAAGGAAGTTGTTATAAACAATTTGCCCCTGCAAAAATTGAAGACATACTATATGAAAACACACCACAATATGAGGAAAAGAAAGGGATATTTTAAATATTTTCCACTTTTGCACACAGATGTCCAGTTGGAAGAAGTGGAAAAGTGAGAACACCTAGCATCTGATTTTCAAAAGTGATAGTGTCATGGTAGCTAAAGACTCTTCAAAAGAAACAGTCCCCAACATCTCTGAAATTAACCAGTGCAGTTCAGCTCCTGCCTTTTTAACAGAACCATCCACATGAGGTTTTGTGTTTTACAGCTGCCTATGGACTCAGTTCTAATGAAGGAGCAGGATATGGGACTCTTGTTTTTCCAGAATAGACATCTATAAAACTACAAGACTGTAGTTTGTAATACAACACCAGTATAGGAAGAATAAAATAAGAATGGCCAATTCACTTGTACTCCAACACTGTATTCAAATTTAGATCTTTGGAGGCAGCAGTACAACCTAACATTCACTGTGTATTTTAAGAAATAACACTGTTCCAAACAGAATATATTTTATAATATCATTACTGCTCGTTTAATTCATGCCACAACAAAACTGATTTAATGGGCACTTCTATGACAAAACACGTGCAATTATGGCTGCAGTGACCAAATAAAGACAAAGATGAGGAATTAAAAGGTAATAATTATGTATGACTCCCACTTGCTATCCCTCTGATCATAACTGCTTGCTAACCCACTCCTCTAAGTTTGCTGTATGTGGACAAACATGATTCATTTTTCTCACTCCCCCTATTTTTATTCCAGCCCACTTCCATTTTCCATCTATTTCAAAGGAAGAACACAAATAATCCCAACAGCTCCAAAGAACCCCCAGGGTGACATAGAGGACCTCTGACACGTTCCTAGTAGCAATGGAGAAAATGTCAATGCCTTTAGAGTGTAACCCTCTAAATGTGCATTATTCCAAGTGATAGTGGGTTAGGAGGTGTTGATACACTACCAGCCAGACAGGTTATGCCCTGTCCTGCTCTGGTGTGCCCAACCTTCTTCAGAGAGATCCCTGCCCAAAGCTACGTGGTCTCTTCCATTGTGTTCTTTATCCCAAGGAGACAGCTGGACCTGGGCAGAACCCTGGCACATGTGTGATGAGAGGACTGCCACAGTTCTAATGGAAATGACTGTGTTGAGGATTCAGGGTGGAAGAACATGAGGAATTTGCAGGGGAATCTCCACCACAGGTTAAAGCCACTGGGAACAGTTGATCTGAGAAAGCTGTGCAACTCCCAGCCCATGATCAGTCACTGACCACCAGCTCAAAAACTTTGTGGCTTTGTGACAGATTTTGATTTAAGCTTCATTAACAATTTGCTAGATACTACCCACCACCATTGCCTACTATTTAAAAAAAAAATTGCTTTAGAGATGGGGCCAATATCAAATTCAGATCTTTGCAGCTTTAATCTTTAGGGGAATTCACATGTGAGTTCTGTAGGGGGGCCCATCTTCAATCATTATTTTCTCACCACCCAAACAGCACAGTGGGATCCCTGATGATTTCAAACACTCTTATAATGACGACAGTGTTATCTCACACTGCTCTCCAAATACTCGCAAGTTTATAGTGTTGATTAACTGACAAAGATTTAATCTGTTTATTACTAATGAGTTTTGTTTTATGAAATTTCCTACGAGGGAGCTCTCTTTTTTAATTAAAAATAAATGCATTACAACAATATTAATTTAAAACCTGAGATGCCACCTCAGCAGAGCTGACACATTCCAACATTATGAATATATTTAAAGAGGAAACTCGAAAATGAAACTCATTTTGCTGCTTTTGGTGGCCACAGTGTGCAGTGTTCTCTCTAATGGTCCTCCTATCACCCTCCCCAGACATGGACACCCAAAGGTTGCCAGGTATGATCTGGGGGTGCTCTTGAAGGGGTTTCTCAGTGTATCTGACTAAACCAATAAGTATTGATAGTACTTCTAAAAATACACAGAAGAAAAGTCTGCGCAAGTTGTCTTGACTCCTAATTGAAGTGCTAGAAAATTAATACAAACTTTCGAAACACTTTCAATCAAAAAGGGTAGGAAAGAAATAATTTAAACAGAGTAGAAACTACTTCAGGAGAAGACAGGGCTATAATTCAATATTTACGTCTAGAGGAGCCTGGACATGACTAAGTTGGCTTCATCCTGCAGAAGGTGCCAAGGTGCTGTGAGTGAACTGTTCAGTTCATCCAGCAACAAGCAGTGCTGTGCAGAGCTGTAAGCCCCAGCTACAGAAGCAATACACCAGCTGAGTAATTTAAATAAGGTAGCTATTTACTGACACTTTTGATATTCCATACAGACATCCCAATAGGTAAAAAGCTGGGCAAATGATAAAACCTCAAATCTCCATTTAAACCATGAAGTCTCTGAAGTGGATGCAGTTGTATCAGGCTCTCCTGAAATATGCCATTACACTATACTTTTATCACGAAATTGCTATTTTATAAAGGCATTAACAAAGCAGCTCTGCTTTATAAGCAGACTTTGGGTTAAAAATTTCACAGTGCCTAAGGGGACAGTTTTTTAGCCTCAACAAAGGCTAAAAAAAAATCTGAATGAGAGAATGCATCATAATGCTATTCCCATGACTGAAAGGCTATGAAATGTCCACAAGGGACAGGACAAGTAATAGACTTAAACCACAGCACAGGAGATTTACATCAGTCATTTGGAAAAACTTACTATTGATGTGGATAGTCAAGTACAGTAACAGTTTGCCTGGGGAGGCTGTGGGATGTCTATCATAGGAGGATTTTGAGACCAGGTTAGGCAAATATCTGTCAGGGACACTATGAGTAAATCCTGTCTTGGGTAGACTAGATATTACTTGAGTTTCTTCTTGATAACTCTAGGAAGCTTAAATACCACTTTCAAAGTGAGTCGGACAGTAACAACTCTGAAACAGCAAGGAGGATATTTATAAATCACTGAGGTATTTTTAGGACTTTTTATTCAGAATGGAAGGAGTCCAAGCCTCACTTTCAAAAATTACTTTGGAATGGAAACCTCACTGAATGCTTTACTTCAAGCATTGGACTTAGACTCTCAAATCTTTCAGGCCATTTCATCCCTCTCCTTTCAGCCATCACTGAGGTGTGCCGTGCCCTGTCCTAAACCAGTTGTCCCAAATGAGTCTTTGGCCAGTAGTGTGACAGACACTGACAAACTACATTCATCCTTATAGCTGCTGGAATGCTTTCGGTCTCTGTCAGTAACATGTTACTTCATTTTACTCTTTGCATTACAGTTTTTTCTGTTTAATCTTGGTTTTATGTATATCCAGAGATCTCTCTATGCTCTTAGGATAAAAATAAAGGTTTCTTTTCATTTTTAGAACTATGAAATCCATTTGTACTCTGAGATTAAAGTTATTTTCTTGTTTGTTTGGTTTTATTTTAGATATCTAGACAAAGAATAAATTTCTGAACAGAAGTGAATTTTACAGAGAGTTGTGCACCTCCCAGAAAGTGCTAAAGATCCCTTTGAACCAGGATGGTTGGGGAGACAGGCAGTCTCTTACTGAGGTTGAATCTACAGGGCATGTCAGAGTAAAGAAAGGAAGAAAGTTTTTCAGTAAAGCGAATAGATAAATCTCTTAAGGCAGCAAAAATATCTATTAAATGAAAGGTTGTCATTTTGATAGTTACTTTGCAGAGGAGAAAAAAATTTAATACAAGCCTTTAAAATTAATGCCACTGAAACAAAAGTGCTTGTAATTCCTTGCTTGAGAATAGCTACCCATCTCCTGTTGAAATTTCTAGGAGGAAATAGGTCTCATAAAAAACCCCCTTGCTTTGTGAATGAATATAACTATCAGCATCTTGACAGTGTTTGAAAAATATTCCTATAAAGACATGATAGACGGAAATAGAAAATAAAAGGAAAGTCTTGGTTGGTAGTTTTATAGAAAACGTTCAGGTCTATAAAAACCTCTGCTGTAAAAGCATCAAAGTCAGAAGCACCTACAAAACATTAGGAGTAGATGCAAAAAACAATGCACCTAAATATTTCATTACATAATATAAATCACATATAAATCGAAGACTGCTTTGAATGCCGAAATATGATGCATAATATTTTTCCCATATAAGCAGTTCAGACAGCAGCAGAGTTAAAGCTCATTTATATCCCCACACCTCTGCTGACTCGTACCATATTTTGAATTTCCCCTAGATGAGAAGCAAAGTCTTTTGCTGACTGAAACACTGTAGCCTGAATAAACAAAAAGTTTTGCTCATAGCCCTACAGGTTGTTAGTTCATGCATAATGAGCTCCTCGCATGAATGTATGTAGAAGTTTTACTTCCTCTGCGTTCAATATAGGAAAATTTTGTATGGAAAGTGTTAGGAAGAAGCAATAGTAGTTGATCCTATATATCTGTCTGTAGAAATAATTCAAAACAAATTGACAAACTGAAAATCCCATTGCACATTATTTCTTT